GAAACGTGGACTTTATGTCGCCGGTTAACGTCGATCTTACGACGAAATATTCTACTTCTCCTTTACAATGACACCTGTTCCTCGTAACCTTACATGGTCTTTACGACGAAATGTGCATTACGACGGGCGATTAACAACGAAACGCGTTTACTAGTTAATTCGTTGTAAATGTCCTATTACGACGAATTAACCACAAATATAGCCCTAGTAAAAAAAAAATTTTCTTGTAGTGTTTTAGAAAAACTTTTGCTGGATCAAAAAAAAAATGCTGATTTGGACACCTTGAAAAACATTGAAAGTGTACTATTATATATAAGATTTATGAGGGAGTGCCTACCCACATTAAGAGGTAGAGTCGGTAATGTAACTTATCAATTTTGTATGGCATGTTGATTTTGAAAGATGTTGAGGCAACAGCTTAGGATCGAAAATCGGCGCTTCGTAACTAGCTATTTAATCCCAGATTGTAAGGGTGACCAAGCTTGTGCAGAAGATGGACTTCTTCTTTATAAGCTGAGGCAACACCTGAATAAGCCTTGATTCCTTATGGACCACAGGCTAACTCGGGGACTAGCGAGCCCACTTTCAACAATAACCATTTCCAGCAACGAGAAACATAAATTGAATGATGCTTGTTTTGCAATCGTGAGTTAAACGATAGACTGCAGTAACTTGCTAAAAGAAATTAAACATTCACATTTGCAGCATTTTTCGGATTAGTGATTTATGATAAAAATCGTCAACTATTAACAGCTAAACGAAAATTAATTTGTCGTTGTAATGTAAGATTGACTTTGAATATATGATATTCCCTCCATTTTATTATAGTTGTCTTTAGTTATATGCATACTTATTAATAAAACAATTAATTTTGTATATTTTCTAAATTAAAACATCATTATCTATAAAACTAATCACGTTTGAATCAATAAAAATAGAATAGCATATAAAATAAATAAATTTTACGTTAAAATCTTAAACAGTATTTATTTTGAATTTTTATTTTATTTTATAACGACAACTAAATTGAAACAGACAGAGTAGTGTGATATTTCTTGTTTTACAAAGGTCATGTTCGTTTCAAGGTCGCAGCAACCAGCGGCAGCAACTGAAAACTAAACATATCACGACGGTATAATACAGCCAGTCACAGCATTCATGAAGCAACGCCAAACTGGTTTTCTTGACGCTGCGGCTGATTCCGAGGAGTAAAAGGGACGCTACAGCGTCAATTGCATCTCATATTTTATAATTACGGCAGTGCACTCGCGACCACTTTAACTTTCCTTATCGTTAAATTTACTTCCGCCACACTATATATTTTATGTCGCTGCCGCTGGTTGCGTGTTCTTGAAAAGAACAGGGCCAAAATGGGTTTCCTGGTTCTGTGTTACCAAATAACTTCTATAAGAAGCTTGAAAAAATGATTTTTTATAAGTACATGCAAACATGATTGGAGTAATGTCATAAAATCCATAATTTATTGTTAATAATTGATTGCTGTCATAATTTTCTAAAACAAAGTCAATGGTCAGGTTAAAGCAAAAACATTAACTAAGTATTATTAGGTGGGAGTTGTGGACAGTAGGGGTGGGACGGATATGGATATCTGAGAAATTTGAAGTATCCGCATTCGGATCCGGATTCATAGGATCCGTGATTTTAGTATCCGGATTCGGATCCGTGTCTTCCGGATATCTGGGTTTCAGATATCCGTCTAGATATTGTGATATCCGTGGATATCCAGATTCGAATTCGGAGCCGTAAAAATAATTAAACAATTAAAAAAATCAAAAATTCTAAAAATACATAAACTAAATATTTATACATAATTTATGAATATATATAACATATAATATTATTAATATAAAAGTAGAATATTATTAAACTTATTTTATGTACAAATATTAATATATCAGATATAATTAATAATAAAGTAAAAATTTAATATATTTTTTAAAATATGAATCCGAATCTATATATCCAGACATAAAAATTAAGATATCGAGATTCGGTTTACACGGATCTGAGATTTTACTATCTAGATTTGGATCTGGACACCTCAAATATCTTAATTTCAGAAAGAATCCGGAGTAGATATCAGATTGAATCCAGATCTCAGCCTAGTGGGCAGAGCCGGACTTGTAGTTTATGAGACCCCATTTAAAGAAACTAAAAGAAAAGTTTTGTCCTATAAACAAAATGATTGGGTGATGAGAACTCAAAAGAGGCGATGAATTTATTATTGTAGTTGTAGCGTTAAATTTATCATTGTAGCGTTAATTTTATCATAATCATCTAAAATCCTAACAAGCTTTTTCTTTTTTTTGTTATCAATCAAAATCCTAACAAGTTTTTGTTTTTTTACAACGATCGGTTGATCTATTACTCAAGCTTGAGATGGTCTCGGAATCCAGAAATCCTAACAAGTTAAATACTACTTTACACCTAAAATTATCATTTTTCTTACGTTAATTTTTGTTCTCGTCTTACATTATATACAGTGTTGGTCCAAACTAAAATGTCGCCTAAAGCGAACAAAAAAAATCTGTTCCTAACTAGATTTTTTTACATTAAATATCTTCAAAATATTAAAACATTCTACAACTTTGATCATAAGACATAAAACATAACAAGTCTACAACAAAAAGAAGAAAAATATAAATTATAGAAAAATAAAATACAACATATATGATATAACAATATTTATTTTAGTTTTGTATATTTTAAAAGTTTTAATCTATATAACCTTAAGATAATTATAGAATAATTAATTTGTCGTTGAAATTAATCACTCAAAGTTTTAATCTAACGTTTTTCTGGCATTGAAACTCTTAATTATAGAACATTTTTAAAACATTAGGTTTTATTTTGTCAAAGAAACATAAGCTTAAGTAATGCATAATATTTCAGAGATGATTTTTGATTCGTTCGGTTATTATTTTTCAGTTTTTTAGGCCTTAAACTTTTAATTATCGATCCTTTTTATACATAAACTTCAATTACTTATTTAAGATTAAACATATTTGAGTGATGAATGTGGATTCTTTCGGTTATTTCCTTACAAATTTCCGGCGTGAAAACTTTTAGTTATTGAGTATTTTTATACAGAATCCTAAGTTTACATATAGCCATATAGGAGACCAGATTTTAGATTTATACGTTCACTTTATTTCAAATTGTTCATGTATTGCAGCCGACGCTCATCCAAGCCACCATCAACGTTCACTGTTTGAATACCTAAACTTCAAGATATCCGACTCTCCTCTGTCCATCCGAGTCAATGACTCAACCACTTTGAAAGAGATAACCCGAGCAGAGGTATTCCTTCGTCTGTCATTTTAACCTAATTAAGTCTTCTGATTACTTCTTCTTCTGCTCTGGGTAAATTTGGTTCACTCAGAAGCTCTTTAAAACTCACAACAACCACCACTTTGCAGACTATTTGTTCCTGAATGCCATTTGTTCATGCAGGCGAGAGTTACTTTTATAAGTGAGACTTTCATCATTTCTATTAGATTACATGTAGAAACGCTAACAAAGCTAACTAAAATCCGAGCCTTTGAGGCTGATTCACTGCTGGTACCTCTCTCTCTTACCCCAACGCATAATTGCTACTCTTATATTACTACTCTCGATTTACAACATTGGTCTTATAGGCTGGAGATGAAGAGAACCCAGAAGATAGTTAGCTCCTCAATTTTTTTTCCAGACATTGCTCGCAAAAGTTACACATTCCAAGTCAGAGTTATCGACTACAATTTCAGTGCTAAACATCAACGTTCAGTGGTGAACGTCTTCCCCTCCCCGAATTTACTGATGTAAGTTTATAGCTGCATTTAATTCCACTCTATCGTAACATGAAAATAATAGTATGTGTGTTTGTTTTAGATGGAGAGAAACAATGGTCCTGGAGGTATGATATGACAAGGATGACCTCATTGTCTACCAAGGTGTGTGCGTTGGTGGTGATGAAAAGGAGAAATAACCAACTCTTGAAACAACTTCAATTGGTCTCATCACCAAAAGCTCTCATGGCACATCAACTTCCAAGTTCACCAAGAAGGCACACATCGCAATAGATTACGAGGATGCAATGTGGCCACATTAGTATCTATTTGAATAATGCTTACGCATCATGTCGGATTTTTACTACTCTACTGTGTGATGATAACATATAAATAGAAACAAAAGTAGTAACCTAAAATAAAAAAAAAACATATTTAAATTATACACTATCAATTTAAAGTAGAACATAGCCCAGTTAAAATCATATCAAAATTGATTTAAATAACTATCGTAATGAAATTTAGGTTGGATATCACAACCTCAAAATATTTAACCATTGAAATATAAACATCAACAAGAATAGCCACAAAATAATATATAACCAAATGTTTTAAATAAACATATAATAAATGTTAAATAAAATAAATGAGTTTTCTGCACAAAGTGTGATACTCATAATAAAGCCTATTATAGTCAAGGTCCACCCTTATAGTAGTAAAAATCAATATAATTTTTTAAAAAGTATATTAACAGGAAATTCAAAAACAAAATGTCTAAGAAAGAAATAATACATATTTTATAGGCTGAGTTATAATGATAATTCTGAATAATTTTGTTTGTATTATTATAATAAAACAAGTATTAAATGTAATATAATTGCTTGATTAAAAGTAAACTTTGTTTTTAATTGATTAGATAAGTCTATGATTTCAAAAAATGTAACAGAAATAAATTATCAATGTTAACATTACTTTAAGAATAAAATAAAATTTTAAAAAGGTAATTAAAATTTTAAATATTTTTATATTATTTTTCACTTATATTTCCGTCCGTAGGACGGGTTACCCTAGTTTCAACATATATGTGTCAAAACCAACACCCACACAGTTAGGCTGATTAATGTCTAGTCATTTGTTAAAGGCTCTAGTAATCTAACATTTCTGCTTGCTTTCCAATGAAAGACGAAGACATATCTTGTCTAAACCAAAAGTTAACTGCATTTTAATTACATAATAAAGTACTGTCAATGGAAAAAGGTCTGATTGTTTGCTCCAAGGAATAGTAGGTACATTCATTTAACCACACAACAACTGCAAATGGAGAATATGACATTGATACGTTATTTTGTTCATTCATTCGCAGACAGGCTTCGTGTTGAAGCTGCTTAAACAAATGGCAAAAGCTTGGAATGCAGAGATCGGGTAACGATAATCCATGGTGAATGTATCTTTCCCTATCTTCCCAAACTGCAGTATCACTCTCTCTTGCTCCTCTTCCGGTATGTTCATGTCCTTCCCTGCTTCTGCAGCAGCTGCCATTAGCTGGAAGTTCTTTACGGAAGCAACCGTGACTCGTCCTTTGAAGTTAAGACACCAGCACTGAAGCTGCTCGTGCCATCTGGGTAACTTGTTTTTCAGGACTAATGGTTCCTTTAGGACGGATTCTACTCTCAAGTTCCCTGAGCAGAAATCCATCAGCCCTCTCTTCTTATTACTTCCTAGGTTTGACAACTCGGTAGGAGTATGAACCTGTCCCCCTTCTTGAATAGAAGAAACTGGGATACTGTTCATGATACATTGCATTCTTCTTGGACCTCTGGTTCTGAGGACATTCAGCTCATACAAGATGGAAGCCATGCTGTAACTATGAGTAGATGAAGTTACCCATGGAGACACACGCATCGTTTGTGATAGTTTCTTGTTGGATGATCTTCCGGTAGGCTGGTTTTCGTAAACAGTGAACTTAGTTCCAAGGAAATTAGATCTATATACACACAACAACAACAACAAAAGTTATAAATGGCATGGCGATATCAAGCAATCAAGGCAAAGATTCTGACACACAGTACCTTAATTTCCCTATGTAATTACTGCTACTTCTAGAGAAGTCATTTCCAGACAAAGATACAATAAACTCCACACCAGTCGCCCTCCTTACCCTCTTAGCCGAGAGTAAAAGCTTACTCTTGTCCCCGGTAAGAGCTGCAACCATACATACATTAAGATGACACATAGTCCCAAGACTCACAAAACTTCAATTCATAAGAAGAGAAGTTAAACTACCAGGGCTTAAACCAAGATAGAGACGGTATATTCCAGTGACTCTCTCCCGTTTGATAAAGCATTGAATCGGATCAGCTCTAGGGCCAGGCTGAGATAAGATCAGCAATGTTTCTTAGCTCATCACTAGAGTGACAACAAGAATGTTTTCAAAAGAGTACCTGTTTTAATGAAACCGGAAAAGTGAGCAGACCAGAGATCTCAGGAACTTTAACAACTTCTTTAGTCATCTCTCTCCAGGCTTTACAAACCGAGGCACAAGCAACAACATCTCTCCTCCCCGGCCATGAATTCTGACCAGACTCGATTCGATGGATGATGTCAAGAAGTAAATCTGTAGGCAAATCAACCCAAATGCTCTGTTCCAAACGATCATCACCTGATGGAGAAGAAGATCCTTCTGGAGCAATGTGAGACCTTCCTCGTCTACCAATGGCTTTGTTACAAACCCTAAGCTCACGTACTATGTTCTTGAACGACATTGCTACAAACCAATCATACAAAGGACAAAAACCCTAATTTGTACCTTCCACCCAGAAAGTTTGCAGCTTTAACAAATGAACAAAGATAAGTCAAGGAAACGGCATCGAAAAAGGTTAAATAATCAAAACGAAAGAGAGAGAGAGAGAGAGGATGTATGTACCAATAGAAGAGACAAATCCATGGGGAAGCACGATGATCGGGAATAAGAATGGGTGAAATTCGATGAAGAAAGTCTCGAATTGAGAAATTTAAAACGCTACTTGAATGTAGATACAGAAACTACCACCACCACCACCAACTCCTCCGATGTTGTTAACCGCCGCCGTCGTTAGGTTTGAGTCCCGACGACGACGATAACTGCAATTATTTCGAGGAGAAGGAGAGAAAGAGGAGAAGGAGACGGGAAAGTTTTTTTTTTTTTTTTTCCTTTTTAAATTAATAAGAGTAGGCGCGGCCCATGTCTCCTTTCAATTGAAATTAGTAAATTACTCAAAATAGGTTTATCTACTGGACATGTCAAAAGAGTACTTTCAAATTTTGTATGCAATGGATAATCACAGTAATGAGAATAAAATTCGTAACAGTAACTATAGATAGTGTATTTTTTAAAACAAGCCAACTTGTTTAAAAATTTTAAAATGTTTTTTTCCTAACAGTAACTATACTATTTAGAAAAAAAACTATACTATTTAGAATAATACACGGATATAGAAAGCTAAAGCGATGCTACAAAAAATCAACATAAAAATAGCAGAAGGAGAAGAACTTAAACACTTTGTGGCACTAGTAAAAAATCGGCTATAGTATTGGGGATAAATAATCCAGGAAGATATTACTCATGTTTTCGAGTATGAGGTCGGCTTTCAATTCCTTCCTAAAGAAATCTTTGTAACTCTTCTGCTAGTCTCCACGCTTTAAGGAGCAACAAATTAAAATGTAGACCCAACTATATAGTACTCTAAACAGTTTGGATAACATTTGATGAGGTGTTGCTCAAAGGTCCATGCATGGCTTTATATCTGTATATGGAAAAACATACATCGACTGGTGGCCATAAGCAAAGTAGATAAGATAGTTTTTCAATAGGGAAACTGTTTTGTTAGGTCGTAGAGTAGAGCTTGCTCCAACGTCAAATTTTGATTCACATTGTCTGTCTTTTGTGCATTTTGTTTGTTTAGTTGAAGATGAAAATGTAATGAGCATCAGTTACAAAAAAAAAAATGTAATGAGCATTCATCAATAGTTTCTTCTCACGTATATTATGATTATCCGAGTTAAAGATGATATTCAAATGCTAACCACAGTAAAACTTTGTTAGATGGTTTGGAATTTTCAAAGAAGAGAGCTCTTTGTAGTAATCATTTGAGATTTGATGAAAAGAACTACGTAACAGCTTTATTGTCATGCATTAGGATTCCCAAGTTAAAAGATGCTCTTTGGTTGCTTAGAGCACCTCCATTGGAGGATTTTGTATGGGGTTCACCCATTTCCCAAGGAGAAAAAATAATTTAATAAGCATATTTTTCTGAACCTGGGTCGTCACTAAGGGGCGGTTCACGGACTGTAGTGCGGGCCCCATGACACGTGGCGGCCCGCCATTGGTCCAATTTTTTTTTTTTTTTTTTA